GGGCAATGTTTCACCAATATTTAGACAGCTCTCCTTTACAACATCTTTATCTTTGCTTCTGTTTGACAATGTGTTGCGTGTCTTTTTGTTTTGGGGCCACACTCGGCCGTGCTCAGGGCTTACTCCTGGCTCTGTACTAAGGGATCACTCTTGGTGGGACTCAGGGAACAATTTAAGGTACTGGGAATTGAAGCTGGGTTGCCATTATGTAAGGCAAGCACCCAGCCTGCCCCAACTGGGTGCCTTTGAAGGCTTTTTATGATGATGATTATGATTAGAATTTGATTTTTGGGCCACAGCTGTCGGTTCTCAGGGGTAACTCCTGGTTCTATACTCATGAATTGCTCTTTTCAGTGCTCTGGTGACTATAGGGGGTGCCAGGGATAGAACCCGGGTTAGCTGCATGCAAGGCAAACACCCTGCCCACCATACTAGCACTGTGGCCCCATTTTCAAGTCTTTTTTAAAAAAGTGTAGTTTTATCTTTTATTTTGTGTTTTGTTGTTGTTTTTCTTATAGCTTATGTTTGAGATATTCTCTCCAGTGTTAACAATTAACTGGAGAGGTATTTCTGTGGTTGTTGTGTTGTGTTGGGGAGTGGGGTGTCACACTTATGGCTCTGAAGATCATATTCTGGTGGTGTTGGGGTTCACAGGTCAGGCTGGCACTGTCCCACTGTGCCAGATCCCAGGTAAGGATATAATTTTTAAAATACTTTTTTAATTTAATAAGGTAAGGTAAGGTAAAGGCCCTCCCGTTGATCGTCGATTTGCTCGAGCGGGCCCAGTAACGTCTCCATTGGAGACTTTGTTGTTACTGTGTCTGGCATATGGAATACTCTCGGTAGCTTGCCGGGCTCTCCGAGAGGGGCAGAGGAATCGAACTCGGGTCGGCCATGTTGGCCGCTTGTAAGGCGAACGCCCTACCGCTGTGTTAAATTATTTTATTTGAATAAGCACCTGTCACCTCCTGAGTCTGTCTTGTAGTAGGAGTTAGGTGAGAGCTAGAGATCAGGCTAGACATTCCTCTGTTTTGTTTGGACCATACCCAGCACTGCTCAGGGCTTGCTTCTGGCTCTGCTCTCAGGGGTCACTCCTGGTGGGCTCAGGGGACCATGAAGGATACCAGGAATAGAACCCAGATTGGCGGTGTGCAAGGTAAGCTTCCTTCCTGCCGTACTCTCTCTCTAACCTCCAAGATAAAAATGACCTCTGATCACAGGGTAAAGAGAAGGTGTGTATGGGCAAGCTGACAAATTCCAGCTTCCTCCACACCAGCTGAGAATTCTCATAATAAAGCCCCATGACTCGGGCCAGAGCAATAGGACAGTGGGGAGGGTGTTTGCCTTGTAAGCGGCTGGCCAAAGTTCTATCCCTGGCATCCCATATGGTCCCCCAAGCACCGCCAGGGTAACTCCTGAGTGCAGAGCCAGGAGTAGTCCCTGAGCATTGCTGGGTGTGATTCAAAAAAAGGAAAAAAAAAACCCATGACTCTTAGAATTTTAAGTTTGGTACATTTATGTGAGATCATGATTTCTTTTCTTTTTCCCTTCATTTCTTTTCTCTTTTGAAATGTTTTCTGTTTACTGCACTATCATGTATTGGGTCGGCAATTCTTGCTCCCGGAGAGCTTTTTGCCTACCCTATCTCATTCTTTCCCCTTCCCTGTTTCCTTTCCTCTGTTGGTGCTGCCGTGATGACTGGGGGTCTCACACACACACACACACACACACACACACACACACACACTCGGCTGGGTTGCTCATACATTTGACTGCAGTGTTCGCTGGGGCCTACACTTTTTCCTTGTAGTGTTTGCACATGTTCTGGGGTCGTGCTCACTGCGGGCTGCTGTGGAACTCACACACGTGCTCACTGGGGCTCACGTTTCTGGTCACAGTTTCCACATCTTTTCCACACTGTGGTACTTGCTAAGAGTTGCACCCTTTAAAAATTTTTTTTAAATTGTTCACAGTGATTTATTACATTCAATATTCCAACACCAATCTCGCCACCATTACACCTTCCCACCACCATTGTTTTCTATTTTCCCAACCACCACCCAAGCCTACCCCAATAGCAGGCCCCAAAAGATTTATTTTGTATTGCTTGTTATGACTAATTCATTGGAAAAGATCAAACAAGATTTCCTTAAAAGAAGATGTGTGAAGATTGTTGTATCTGACCCTGGAGCCATTAAGCTCTTGTATAAGAGATTACTAACATGATGTTACAGGTGAAGCCTTGTGTTAATACTTTCTTAGCCGAGATTGTGTCCCTTCTACTTTGCATCCCATCCAGTATGGTGTGCTTCTCCTGGCACATCAGTAGTATGCGGAGTATGAGATGCTCCAGGAATTCTAAAATTCTGATGGGGTGATACATCTGGGATTAAATTTTTAACTGGCAGGTGACTTTGGAGTCTGGAAGCATCTCTGCAGCTCGCTGATTCCTTTGGAGATTTATTTATGAGTCTCTAGATCAGGACTGGTTAATGAAGTGCTTCGATGCCAGAGGCAGTTCATGGGCAGAGTTGTACCCTTTTGGTGCAGCCAGAAGTCGCTTGTCGTGTTGGGGATCTCAGGCCCCAACAATAGAGCTTCTCGTCACGTGTGGGTAGTACTGTGGGTTGGACTTGTGGCCTCATGTTTAAAAGGCAGACGTGTTAATCACTGAGCCATCACCCTGAACGAAGTCTTCTCTACATGCAGGTAATGTAAAGTGCCATCTGCAGTCAGTCTGGTGGTGTTTATTTATTTATTTGCTTATTTGCTTTTTGGGTCACACCCGGTGATGCTCAGGGGTTACTCCTGGCTCTGCACTCAGGAATTACTTCAGGCGATGCTTGGGGGACCATTGGGATTCTGGGCAGCGAACCCTGATCGAACACATGCAGGGCAAACGCCCTACCCACTGCACTACTGCACTGGCCCCAGGCTGACTGTGTTTAGATCCTGGCTGTCCACTTACAAGCCAAGTAACTTTGGAGATCTTTGCCCTGCCTGACCTTTTGCTGCTTCACCTCTAATTAGGTGGTAATTTTATGTCAGGGGGTTGTTGTGGCAATTAAATGCAATAGAGTTGACACCTTTGTTTTGTTTTGTTTTGTTTTGTTTTTTGGCCACACCCAGTGATGCTCCAACTCGAGGCGCTGGGAATTAAACAAGGGTCAGCTGAGTGCAAGGCAAGCATCTTACCCCCTGTACTATCTCTCCAGCCTCATTCACACTTAAAAAATGTCATTACTATACACACACACACACACACACACACACACACACACAAAGCAATATATATATTGCTTTTTCTTGGAGGGGGGTCACATTCAGCTATGCTCAGAGGCTACTCCGGGCTCTGCACTCAGGAATTACTCCTGGTGGTGCTTGGGAGACCATAGGGAACACTGGGGATCAAACCCGGGTTAGCCACGTTTAAGGCAAATGCCTTACCCATTGTACTGTTGCTCCGGCCCCAATATTACTATATTTTTGTCAGGTGACCTAGATGTAGAATTGTCCTGATTGTAACTTGTCATGTTTCTCCCTTAGTGAAAGTCACGAGCATAACCAAAAAAAGCAACATTTCAGAGAGAAATAAATTGCATCAAGAAACAATTTCAGAAAACATAGTCATTTTCACTTAGTTTTTGTGCTACTAAGGAAGATATAAGCGCATCTTGTTGCCAGCACATCCATGTCATTCCTTGAACCACTAGGACTGATTCCCACTGAGCACGTGCAGGTGAATGGAACCTTACATGCCCACTCTTCTGAGAGAAAAACTGCACTGAATAGCCCAGGTTCTGCGAGCTAGGCTCTTTGGCCCCTCACGTGCTATGTGTATGTTCTTGTCGTGTGTATTCCTGAAGGGTCCTCCTGGTATTTTGGCTTGCTTCTCTAGAGCTCACCTCAACTTCATCCCAGTTTACATTCTTGCTTCAGGTCAAGGGGAGGAGTCTTGGCAGATGACACCTTCCCTGGGTTTGTCTTGGTTATCACATTGTCAACAAGTTTCCCAGCATCCTATCCACATGCACAGAGGACAGAAGTAGCCAGTGGTGTCGGGAACATGGGGCCAGTGGGTCACAGGGGTCAGAGACAAAGGTGGGGGCCTGCTGTCTGGTGCCCACTGCCTGTATGGTCTTCTGCAGAAGCCTTGGGGAGAGCAGGCTGACTTCTGCTTCCTGCGCCCACCAGTGGGGTGAACATACCCATTTTTTTAATGGTGGAAAAGAAGTTGTATTTTGGATTAGCCAGCTGGACTGTTTAAATGATCCCAATTTTGTTGGCAACATCCAAGGTGTCATAATCAGGAGCCAGCCGAACATATGCCTTTTTCTCTCCATCAGGCCTAATCAGGGTGTTGACCTTGGCTACATCAATGTCATAGAGCTTCTTCACAGCCTGTTTAATCTGGTGCTTGTTGACCTTGACATCCACAATGAACACAAGTGCGTTGTTATCTTCTATTTTCTTCATGGCTGACTCAGTAGTCAGAGGAAACTTGATGATGGCATAATGGTCAAGCTTGTTTCTCCTGGGGGCGCTCTTCCAAGGGTATTTGGGTTGCCTTCTCAGTCACAGCGTTTTGAGTCTTCTGAAGGTGGGTGATGTGCGAATTTTTTTCTTTTTCTGGCTGTGGACGCCTTTCAGCACTGCTTTCTTGACCTTCAAAGCTTTGGCTTTGGCTTCAACTTTGGGAGGGGCAGGGGCTTCCTTCTTGGTCTTCGGCACCATCTTCGTAAAAAGGGTTGCACCCTTTCCTTTCCTGGTCTCACTTCAACCTTCTTTTTATTGTTTTCCAGCGCGGATCTGCCCCGTTGGTTGGCACCTCTCAACTCCAAACATAACCCCCAGAAGAAGCAGCCATTCGGAGAAGGATTGCCATCCGTGGCTGGGCGTTCCAAGAGCCCAGAGAGGGAGCAGCCGCGGCTGTGCCCACAGGAAAACCACTGTGTGCTCAGTGGCATGACATCCCCATTCCAGCATCCGAGCCCTCGGCCATGAGCCAGCTGACAATCGAGGCTCCTGATGATGAGGCCTGCTCCCTCCTGCAGGCCCAGAAGCCCATCCGGCCGTACATCTGCTCGGCTCCGAAAGAGTTCCAGGAGGAGAGAGACTTCCTGGCCAGCCACATCTTCCCACAGCTGAACGAGTGCTGCCATGCCCGGGGCACCTTTTTCAAAGCCGTAGACCTGAGGTGGGCTGAGCTGGCGGCCCCCCAACCCCGTAACCCGGGCCACTTCCGACAGCACTGGTGTCTCAACTCCCAGCACCTCAAGCTGTGTCTGGACTACGTGAACCACTGCTTCCCCTTCTTCATCGCCTTGCTGGGCCACACCTATGGGGACTTCCAGGACGACTACTCCCCTTTCATATTCTCCAAGGCCACCGACTTGGCGGGCTTATCCGTCATCGAACGGAACCTCTACGTGGCTGGCCAGAACGGCTACCCCTGGGTCCTGGACAGCCCCGACTGCAGCCTGGTGGAGTACGAGATCATGCAGGCCGCGTTTCTCAGACAGTCGGAGTTTCAATACTTTTACTTCCGGGCTGGAAACGCGCAGCTGGGGCCCTCGAAGCCAGGGGAGGAGGAAGAGGAGGAGGCGGTGATGTCAGCGGCCCTGATGATGGAAGAAGAGGAGAAAATAAGGATCGGGAAGCTCAAGAGCAAGATCATCAACAGGGGCCTTCACGTCAGATATTACAAAAATCTCTCTGAGTTGGGCGAGCTGGTCTTGACAGACTGGTTGATCGTGATAGAAAAACTCTACCCGGCCTCCTTGAGGAATGAAAATATAGGTTAGTACATTCACCGAGAGCTAAGCCTCTGAGGTAAGGTTGTCATGCCTGGTTAACAGGTTGGGGGCCAGAGAGACGGCACAGGAGGTAAGGCACTCGCCTCTTTGGTAGCCACTTTGGTTGTGATCCTGGTTTGATCCTCAGTACCATACATGGCCCTCAAGCCCTGCCAGGGGTCACTCCTGAGCAAAGACTCCAGAAATAGTCCCTGAACACTGCTGGCTGCAAGCCCAAATCCCCCCAAATAATGTAAGGTGAGGGGCCAGAGAGATGGTTTGAGGGTTGCATGTGGCAGACCCGAGTTTGGTCCCTGGCATGTCATATGTTCCCCCAAGCACCCTCTGTGAGCACAGAACTAGGAGTAAACCCTGAGCACTGCGATGTGACATGAAAGCCAAAACAAAAAGGCAAAAAGAAAAGAAGTGCCCCAAAACCAAAATGAGAGAGAGAGAGAGAGAGAGAGAGAGAGAGTAAGAAGAAGTGGCCTGGGGGCAGGAGTCATAGTATAGTGGAAACGGCATTTGCCTTGTACATGGCTGACCTGGGTTCAATCCCCGGCATCCCATATGATCCCCCAAGCCAGGAATAATTCCTGAGTGCAGAGCCAGAAGTAACTCCTGAGCATCGCTGGGTGGAAAGAAAAAAGAAATGCCTGACCTGGTTGTATTTGACTGTGACTGATGCCCCCAAACAAAAATCAAACATCATTGCATATGTTTGACTGTGGTGACTATGTCTTTGAATAAAGTTCTCAAAAGATTCATCACCCCCCCTCCCCCTGTGCCCCAAAAGGTTCTAGATTCCTAGCAGAAGAACCCAGTTCATGTGGAGTGAAAACTGATCCAGCTGGGCCCTTCTAAGCTGTGCTGGGGCAGGGACAGCCTGGCCATGTTGGCAGCAGATGGCTTGTCTGGAGAGTGACCCCCCTGTCACCCAGACCTGGTAGGCAGCAGACTCCGCCGTGCTGGTGAAGACAAGCTGCCTCGAAGCCCAAACCATTATGGAATTCTCCAAAGGAATATTGCACAGCCATAACGTTTGGTTGCATGGAAACCAAACGAGCTATGACAAAAAAAGGGATTTATTTTTAGTTTTTGTAACTTTATTTGCTATTTTACATTTGTATTAATTTCTTGCTCGAGGGACCATATCCGTCTGGCTCTGTGCTCAGGGATCGCTCCTGGTATTACCAGGGATCAATCCCAGGTCAGCCACAGGCAAGGCAAGCACCCCCTCCACTGAGGTATCTCTCCGGCCCCAGCTTCTGTAAATTTAAAGCCTGGGGTTACGTTAGGCTCAGCTCAGGTGTTTTCCAGAAGTTCCATTGATAGCATCCGGCTGTGGTTTCTCACTTTCTCAGTCTGCCTCTGCTATCTTGATGTCTCCTTCATGAAGGAAGATGACAAGAGCAACTCCAGGATCAAGTTCAACAGAAATACTTGACCTAGGGCTAGAGAGATAGTACAATGGTCAGGGAACTTGCCATGGATGCAGCAGACCCTCCTTCCATCCCCAGCATCCCCTGAGCATTGCCAGGAGTGATCTCTTGAATACAGAGCACCCCCAGTGTGACCCAAAGACAAAACCAAAAAGGAAAGAAGTGCCCTCAAGGGGCCAGAGCAATAGTACAGTGGGTAGGGCGTTTACCTGCACGTGGCCCACCTGGGTTCCATTCCCAGCATCCCATGTGGTCCCCCCTTCCCCCCTTCTCCCCTCCCCCTTACAAACAGCCAGGAGAAATTCTTGAGTGCAATGTCAGGTGTGACCCAAAAAAAGAAGAAGAAGAAGAAGAAGAAGGAGGAGGAGGAGGAGGGGGAGGGGGAGGGGGAGGGGGAGGGGGAGGGGAGGGGGAGGAAGGGGAGGGAGGGGGAGGGGGAGAAAGGGGAGGGAGGGGGAGGGGGAGAAAGGGGAGGGAGGGGGAGGGGGAAGAGGAAGAGGAAGAGAAGAAGAAGAAGAAAAGTGCCCTCAAACCAAAAGCAAAGCAAAGCAGAACAAAACAGAACAAAAACCAAAAGGAAAGAAAAAGAAAAAATGCCTGTTTGTATTTGACTGTCACTGGTGCCTGGAGTGGGTGCTACTCTCAGTGGCTAATCCAGGCCACAGGCCACCTCTGGAACCAGAGGCAGAAGTGACCCACTATTACAACGTAAACAGAAATATGGGAGGAAGCAGCTGAGATGTTTCCGTTCTTAGCCTTGTGAACTTGATCAAATTACCGAATTTTGGTGTGTTTCTTCTCTAGAAAAGTTAGCATTAACCACTTAGGGATTAAAATATATGTAAAGCACTTAAATATGGGGCCTGGGGAGATAGTGCGGGGGTCATGGTGCTTGTCTTGTGTGTGACCAGCTGGCTTGAGCATCTTCTGGTGGAGTCCAGCACACACCCCGCCCCGCCCCGCCCCCACAGTGGTACCTGGAGCATATGAACTCTTTAGCTGGTGAGAACAAATAATAACAGAGAAGTCGTGAAAGAGTATAAACATTTGGCTAAAGACTGGTTGATAGAGCAATTCTTCAATTAATCACTGTCTAAACTGCATGTATTGAATTTTATTCATGTGTTTCAGAATCAAGCCTTGGGGCTGTAGAGATACAGTAGGTGGGGCATTTACCTTGCACACAGCCACCCAGGTTCCATCCCTACCATCCCATATGGTCCCCCCAGCACTGCCAAGAGTAATTTATTTCTTTTTATTTATTTAATTTTTTAATTGAATCACAGTGAGATGCACAGTTACAAAGTTGTTCATGATTGGGTTTCAGTCATATAATTTTCCAACACCCACCCCTTCACCAGTGTACATTTCCTACCACCAATGTCTCCAGTTTCCCTCCCATCCCCACCTGCCTACCCCTATGATAGTCACTTTTTTTCTATCTATCTATCTATCTATCTATCTATCTATCTATCTATATATCTATGTCTCTGCCTCTCTTTTCTTTATTTAGGGGCACTATGGTTTGCAATACAGATACTGAAAGGTTATCATGTATATTCCTTTAGCTATGTTCAACACTCAGTTCTTGTCCAGAGTGACCATTTCTAATTGTTATTGTCATACTAATCCCTTCTCCATCCTAACTGCCTTTTTCCATCCTCCCCACCACACTTGTGGCAAGCTTCTAACCATTGACCAGTTCTACTGACCCCTGATTTTCCTGGCCTTGGATATTAGTCTCATTTTTTTTAAATGTAGGAGTACTGCTATTTATTCAGCCATTGATTAAGCTGATTGAATTGGGCATAAACTCCACATTACTTTTTTAAATTCGGAATGTTAATTTGATTTTATTATTTTTTAATTGTTATTTTTTAATCACAACAGCACAGCATTTGCCTTGCACAAGGCCGACGCGGGTTTGATTCCTCCACCCCTCTCAGAGAGCCTGGCGAGCTTCTGAGAGTATCTCGCCCGCATTGCAAAACCTGGCAAGCTCCCCATTTGATATGCCAAAAACACTAACAACAAGACATTACTGGTGCCCACTTGAGCAAATTGATGAACAATGAGAGGACAGTGCTACAATGCTAATCACTGTGAGATATAGGTACAAAGCTTTACTGTTTGAGTTTCAGTCATACAATGATTGATCATCCAACCCTCTACCAGTGCACATCTTCCACCACCAAGGTCGCCAGTACCCCCCCCTCCACCATCCCACTCCTCCCCCTGCCTCTGTGGCAGACAATCTCTCCCATATTCTCTTTTGTATTGCTTGTTATGAATAGCATAAGATGTTGTGCGGCCGCAAGAGCAACTGCATGCTCCTGGAATCTTCTCTTCTCTCTCCCTCCCTCTCTCTCTCTCTCTCTCTCTCTCTCTCTCTCTCTCTCTCTCTCTCTCACACACACACACACACACACACGCACACACACACATCCTGGAGAGAATGTTGGCGTCTCCAGAAGTAGGAGGACATTTTAACATGACAGAATACTCAACCTTTAATTAGGCATGACCTCAAAATCATGGATGATTGAAAGTGGAAAGCGTCTCAGAGCTGAGCCTATTGATGGTTCTGCTACTTATTTTACCAAAGAGTTTGGAGGACCTGCCCAAAGGCCGGGTTTGTGAGTGACTGGAATGTGTGTGATTGAAAGTGTGAAAACTACAAATAGACGATATTGAAACTCATCTTTTTCACCACAAAGATTACAAGCATGACCTTGAACGTTTCTATCACCAAGAATTTATTGAGAAGTGCAAGCAAGTGTTTGTGGTTTCCAAGGAGTCGAGCAGGACATTCGAGATCTTGGAAAAGTTTGCCTTAAGCAGCGTGGGATTTGATGATCAGAGTCCCACGGCAGATGCCAGCTTAGAGTCGCTCCTCAGGTAAGAGGTCACGAAATGGCGCGTCTGGCAACGGGTTCCAGGGAAGCCTGACTTCAGTAAATGGGAGCCCCGGTGGGAATGCCCTCCCCACCTCTGTGCTCCCCCATCCGGCAAGAGATGGCCCCTCTCATGCCCACCTCACATTAGCATTTCCTTCGCGGATATCATCTGTGTTGGCAAAATTTCCCTGGTGATTCCATTTACTCTCTTCCTGTCTCTAAGGTAGTAACTCTGGAAGGCAGGGGCTTGCCTACATTCTGCCTCCCATAGGTCAAATCTGGTCTAAGTAGTTCCTGACAATGATGGAATGACTCAGAACAAATTGAATCCGCAAATACCAAAAAGATATGTGAACAGCATAGGACTCAGGGCAATGCTTAGCGCTTACTTCTGGCTCTGTGTTCAGGGGTCAGTCCTGTGGTCATGTTCAGGGACCATCTAAGGTGCCGGGCATAGAACTAGGGCTGGCTGATGCAAGGCAGCACCTTAATCTGTGTACTATCTGTCTGTCTGTCCTTCAGCTCATTATTAATTATATTAAAATATTCAGTGAATGCTTGGTAAGTGTCCACATGAATCACATAATTATTTGTATTTCTGTGTAAAAAAATCTAGGTCTCTTTATCAAATATTTTATTTATGTATTTATATTGGCTTGGGGGGCCACATCCAGTAATGGGGGTTTACTCCTGGTTCTGCACTCGGGGATCATTCCTGGAGGTGCTAGGGGCCCTTGCGTGGTGCCAAGGATTAAACCCCAGTTATCCGCATGCAAGGCAGATGCTTTCCCCTTGCACTCTCCCCAGCCCTGTTTGAGCACCTTCATTGTTTGATCCCTTATCCCGTCTGCATCAGCACCCCTCCCCTGCCTTTTCCTACCCTGCCTGGTGATGTGTTCTGTTGACTTCCGGGAGGCATGAAGAGACTGGGGTGTGAAATTAAGGTTGTGTTTGGTGTTATTCCCTAGAAATAGGATGGTTCTTGGGTCAGGTTTCTTTCTTTTCTCTTCAGCTCCCAGTTCATGCCACAGATCACATTTATTTTGGGAGGGTTTTTTTTTTTCTCTTGGCTTTGAATTGTACCCAGCTGTGCTCAGGGGTTACTCCTGGCTCTGCACTCAGGAATTACTCCTAGAGCTGCTTGGGGGATCTTATGGGATGCTGGGGTTCGAACCCAGGTTGGCTGTGTGTAAGGCAAATGCCCTACCCACTGTACTATCGCTCCAGCCCAGCCCTTGTGAGATTCTTGTGCTTTAAAGTCAACCCTCCGTGGCTGAGAAGGTCGGGCTGCCCTCCATCATTGGTTCCAATCTCAGGGACAGAGCCACCAGCTTTCTTAAGGTTCTGGGAATGCCAGGAGCAAGCAAATTATTGGTCAAAGCAACATGCTCTGTCAGGATTTTTCAGACCACAAGCATTTAAAACCTATAGGTTGTGTGTTAAAAATGTGTAGGTTTGAGTAGGCAATTCTGCAGAGAGAGAGGAGGTTATTGATTAAGGGGGAGGGGTGAGAGGGATGTGATAGAAGGAAGAACTCTTAACAGGTCTGTCGCTTCTCTGTGGAGCTCTGAAAATGCAGAGGAATTAGATGTCAGTGACAGTTGTACAACCTTGTGAATATGGGGAGGGAAAAAAATCACTGAATGGCTCACCTCTTAATGGTGAGGTTTTGGGTAATGTGGATTAGTGTCACTCAGGTTAAGTATGGGGGTGAGAAATTCAACGCATTTCAGGGCTAATGAAGTAACTCCAATTGGGCCATATTGAAAACACAGCCATTAAACAAATCCTTTGAATCTGCTGTTTGCTTTGCTGTTTGGAAACAGTATTCTGTACCGTAAATTCCTGAAGGATGTGTGTGGAGGCAGAGGGGTTCCTTATGTTGCAAAGCTTTGTCCTGATAGGGGCTGGAGCAATAGTACAGCAGGTAGGGTGTTTGCCTTGCACGCTGCCGACCAAAGTTCGATCCCCGGCATCCCATATGGTCCCCTAGCACCACCAGGAATAATTCCTGAGTGCAGAGCCAGGAGGAACCTCTGAGCATCACTGGGTGTGACCCCCCCCCCCAAAAAAAAACTTTGTCCTGATAATGGCATCTGGGGCTGTAGCGTGACTATCTGGAGTGATAGAGTGAACTCTCCTCCTCCTGACAGCAGTGACAGCAGTGTTTTTATTGTCTATTCCCGAGATGTCCTGAATCAAACGGGTGTATTTCCGAATTACTGTTCCTTTAAGGATTTGACCTTCTGGGTGCCAGGATGTGTTCTGAGCACAGAGGATGCAACCGTGAACAAAAGGGAAAACAGATCCCTGCCTCCTGACGAGGAGGAGGAGGAGGAGGAGGAGGAGGAGGAGCAGGAGGAGGAGGAGCAGGAGCAGGAGGAGGAGGAGCAGGAGGAGGAGGAGCAGGAGCAGGAGGAGGAGGATAGGGGCATGGTGCTTCAGAAATAAGGAAAGTAGGAGGCAAGCTTCCTGCCTTTGGAGTTGGGGAGTGAACAGTTATCTGGAAAAGGAGAAAGTAGGTCAGGTCCGATGAGGAAAGGGACAATGCGAAGGGGCTGGAAGGTTCCACCTCGGCACAGAGAGGATGGAGGGCTAGTTGGAGGGAGAGGGGGTTGCAGTGCTGGGGAGGAGCTGGGAGATGGTGTGGGAAGAGGCAAGTGTGCTTCCTGGTCTCCCAGGTCCTCCTGAGGATGGGAGCTTTCACCACTCATGAGCTGAGCAAAGACAGAGGCTAGATGGACAAAGGGCAGAGGTGGCCGTGGAGACAGACTCTGCCATTCAGGTCTGATGTTGAAATGCAACAGGACCGCCTCACGAACCTGCTCGGGGTTTTGTTGTTTGTTTTGTTTTGGGGCCACCCTTGGAGAGTCTTAGGGGCTGCTGCTGGCTCTGCATTCAGGAATCATTCCTTGTGGGGCTTGGGGGGGAATGATATTGGATCCCTTAGGTCAAAGCCGGGTGGGGTGGGGCTGGAGCGATAGTACAGCGGGTAGGGCGTTTGCCTTGCATGCAGCTGACCCAGGTTCAATCTCCGGCATCCCATATGGTCCTCCAAGCACCACCAGGAGTAATTCCTGAGTGCAGAGCCAGGAGTAACGCCTGAGCATCACTGGATGTGACCCCAAAAAGCAAAAACAAAAACAAAACAAACAAAACCCGGGTGGGTTGCATGCAAGGCAAGCACTCTGCCCTTTGTACTGCCACCCCGGCCCAATGACACTGCTTTCCAAGCTCCGTTTTCATGGTTGTTCAGGCTTTTTGGCTTTGCAGAACACAGATGTCAGCTTTGTTTTCTCTCATTCTGCGATTTGTCATCAGGTACCATGTCAGACAGGGACTCCAATACTCAGTAACTAAGGCCAGGGACTGCTCGCGGGGACCTCCAGGCATCAATGACACGCTTGTGTCCTCCTCCACACATCTGTTTGAAGAGCGGGCCCACCCAGGGCTCACCCAGAGGCTGCTCACTTAGAAAAAAAATCAGGGCTTGGGCCGAGAGGGAGCTTAACGGATAGAGGATGGGCAACTGGGGTTGCCCTTGCACCCAGGGGTGCTGGGTTTGAGATCCCCTGAGCGTGGCCCCAAGTCCATAAGAAAAAAACATCACACAGGAGGAAACCAACCAGGATCAGAGAGAGCAGGAAGCCCTGGAGTAAGTGCTCTGCATGTTCCGAGCTTCAGTATGGCATCCTCCCCTGAATACCCCCAGGAATGGCCTTTGAGGAGTGACTTGGGAGTAGCCCCAGAGCACTGCAGGGCAAAGCCCTTCCCCCAAATTAAACTTAAAAAACCATGGGACAGAGAGATGTTACTGCAGGTAGAGCATTGGCCTTGCACGCAGCTGACCCGGGTTTGATCCCCGGCATCTCCTATGGTTCCCCCAAGCTCCCCCAGGAGTCATTCTTGAGTGCAGAGCCAGAAGTGACCCTTGGGTTTTGCAGGGTGTGACCAAAAAGCCAAAAAATAAAACAAAAACAAAAATCAATGAGACATGTTATTTTTATTTATTTTTTGATTGAATCACCAAGAAATATACAGTTACAAAGCTGTTCATGATTGGTTTTCAGTCATAGGATGCTCTAATACCCATCCCTTCACCAGTGTGTATTTCCCACCACTAATGTCCCCAGTTTTCATCCTCCTCCCCCTTCCCTGTCTTCCGCTATGGCACTTCTCTCTCTCTGTGTCTCTGTCTCTGTCTCTCTCTCTCTCTCTCTCTCTGTCTCTCTCTCCCCTGGGCATTATGGTTTGCAGTACAGGTACTGATAGGCTATCACGTATATCCCTTTAGCAATGGGACATGTTATATTAAGCTCCTGTCACTTGAACTAAATCACGTTTCTGTAGCACAAGCCAAAAACATCCTGGAGGGGGTATGGTGCCGCTAGCAGGTCAATCTGTACCTGTGAGGCGAGTGCATCAGCAGCCTCATGGCGCCTTCAGACTTCCAGATACCCCAAAATTGCTGCTGTGCCTTTGGCCAGACCCCAAAAACTTGGGGCAAAGTTTACCAAGAAAGTAAACGGCCAAAAGTTAGGTATGTGGGAAACACACCCAACAAACCACCTCCGGCTCAGCTATATAATTGGAGGCAAGGCCTCATTGGTTCCTGATTGAACTGCTTAATGGACATAATCCCAGAGACTCAGAAACGAATCTCAGAACCCAGTGGCTTTAGGTAGAAATGCGTCTGGTCTCTGCAGTAGGCTACCGGTGCTGGGCCAACCTAGGTGGGAATAGGTTTCGTGCCTTGGCCTACTCTGAGGCCACTGGATAGTCACATTTGGGCCCCCAGTGACGAGACACACAGGGCCTCACGGGATGAGGGTGGAGCCGGGCTTGTCCTCCCCACCCCAACGAGACCCCAAGTCATCGCCCACGAATGGCCTCTCTGGCTCCTGATCAAGCTGCTTAACGGCCATGATCCCAGAGACTCAGAAACAAATCTCGAAACCCAGTGGCGTTTGGCAGAAATGCACCCGGACTCCACAGTACGTTACTGTCGCCAGGCCACCCCAGGGAGGAAAGGATGTTGTCCCTCCGCCTGCTCCCTCTTGGCGACTTGGTGGCTGTCATCCTCCAGAGACCATTGGACAGTCAGGCATGGGCCCGCAGTGACGAAACTTATTGGGCCTCACGGGATCGGGGGGGAGGTAGAGCCGGGCCTGTCCTCCCCACCCCAATGAGACCCCAAGTCATCGCCCACGAATGGCCTCTTTGGCTCCTCATCAAGCTGCTCAACAGCCATGATCCCAGAGACTCAGGAGCAGATCTCTAAACCCAGCAGGTTTTGGCAGAAATCCCTCCAGATTTAAGTGTTAACATTTCAGAATTTCAAAATCGCGTGGCCGCTACTGCAGCCACACGACATCATATGTTATTCATAACCAGCAATAGAACACAAATTATCTATTGTTGCCTTTTCAGCAGATCTGAGTGTTGGGGTAAAATTTTAAATAATGGTGGGTCTGGTGTCGAAATAGTGAATGTGATCAAAGTAGAGAGAGAGTAATGTAGAAATCCTCTGCCCCACAGGCAGGGGGAGGGTGTGGGATGGGGGTATACTGGGATTTTTGGTGACGGAGAATGGGCACTGGTGAAGGTACGGGTGTTTCATTGTATAACTGAGACTTAGACCCAAAAGCTTTGTAACTGCTCTCACGGTGATTCAATAAATAAAATTATAAAAAATGGAAAAAGAAAAAAAAAAGTAAGGTGGAGTTCATGCACAATTCAATCAGCTAATCAGTGGCTGAATAAATAGCAGTACTCCTACAAAAAAAGAAAAAAAAAAACAAAAAAAAACCAAAAAACATCCTGGAGGAGGAGCTGCTACCACTTGTCCGTGAGCCATTTGGATTATGTTCACTGCAGTGGACTTTCAGTGTCCCTGAGGATGGATACCCCTCCCCCACCCCTCCCCCACCAGCAGAGGAGTGCTTTGGAGTTTTATTCTTTCCTAATGTGATGTCACAGCATGCACACATATACACAGACACACAGACAGACAGACAGACAGACACACACACACACACACACACACGCACACCCACACACACAGCTCGAGTGTTTAAAGCTGGGCACATGCAGAGCTCCCTGTCCCTGACTTTCTTTTTTGGGGGGCGGGTTCGGTGACCATCTGAGGTCCCAGGGATTTAGCCTGGGCTCGTTGTGTGCGAGGCAAGAGCCCTCCCTCCTGACCACCCCCCCGCCCCCTCTGGCCCAAATCACAGGATCTTGTGTTTTCCTCAGAAATAAATTTAAGGAGGAACATGAAGGATTATATTTAGAAAGAAAAATAAATGTACAAACCCAGTAGGGCCTGAGGAGTTAATTTTAAGTGAAAGAAGAGACACGAGGATGGGGGAGAGAATCTAAAAATACCACCGATGGCCTTTGGTCCTGGCGTTTTAAGTGCATTTAGGCCTCCCCGGCCCCCTTCACTTCCCTAGATGGGCAAGGACACCTTGAATCCCAAGGCCCTGACCACATGCGGCCACTTCGATGACCAGAAACTGTGATTTCAACAGGTGGGACTGATGTTGATGTGGAGACACTGTCAAGGGGTGGAACCATGAGCTACTGTTCCCTCTCCACTTGAGGCTGACCCGAGCCTGCTGCCCCAGCTGTGACAAAGCGAGAGACCTTGCAAGGAGCCTGCCCGGGCTGGTGGATTTACAAACACTGTAAATTTGGCCCTGGCGGCGCTCTGCCGGACACTTGGTTTAAACACTAGGAACATTTCTGCCCTGACTCCATTTCTCTTCGTCCTGTCTCGGCCCCATGACCTCCCCTATCTCTTTAGCTGTAGTCCGGAGTCATGTGCAGGGTCTAGGCCAGTGCTGACAGTCACGCCCCTCAGGGAGAGGGCAGTGAGCTCTGTAAGGCCTCTGGGCCATCAAGCCCTTGGCCTCACCCTGGGCTCACTTGGACAGAGTCACGCAGGTGCTTCCGATTTTACTGAAGATACGGGTAAAATACAGAGGGCAAAAGGACTCATGTGTCGCCAACCCAGTCCAGAGCTGAGACGCGAGAACCCCAACTCTCTCTCTCCCTTTTTTGGAACCAGGGAGCCAACCCAGGGCCTCACGCCTGTGCCACAGGCCTCCTGCCTCCAGGCTGGGTCTTGGCCTGCGTCTTCACATCTCTCAGGGACAGAAATACACAGGAAACAGCTCCCTGCTTGCTTTTGTAAATAGTTGTCAACCTCAAGGCATCATTTCTGCACTGGGGCTACGAGAAGCACCTTGCAAATTATCTTAATTTCAGGACGGCCCTGAGGAAGAAGTAGACGAAATTTCCCTGAAATTTCAAACACAGACCTTTTAAGTTTCTGCACCTTTAGAAAAGTGGAATGGGGTTGGGGGAATTTACACTGGAGTGATGTTATGGTGAAGCAAGGCAGTGGTCTTTTGAGGGGCTGGTCATTTTAATTTTTTTTATTTTTTTTACATGAAAAACAAACAAACACTGTCCTCCCGTTGTTCATGGATTTGCTCGAGCGAGCCCAGTAACGTCTCCATTTTGAGACTTGTTATTACTGTGTTTGGCATATGGGAGAGATACTCTCGGTGAAATTTTCTTTAATTTTTATTTATTTATTTGCTTTTCGGGTCATGCCTGGTGATGCTCAGGGGCTACTCCTGGCTTTGCACTCAGAAATCACTCCTGGCAATGCTCAGGGGACCATATGGGGTGCTGGGAATTGAACCTGGGTCGGCCGCGTGCAAGGCAAACGCACTACCTGCTGTGCTATCACCCCAGCCCTTGGGCTGGTCATTTTAACATCCTGGCTAATCAGAGACTGAAGTTGAGTCAGAGAGGGACAACAGAATGATCTCTCCGTTTGTGGAATATAAACAGTGTGGCTGCGGGTAACAGACCTTGAGAGTCGGCCAACAGAGCTGGTGTGCCAGTTGGGGTGGGGGAGGGGCGCAAGTGGGATGCTGGCCTTCGGGTGGGGAGTGTGGAGTTGGAACATGGCTTGCCTGAAATTATTATTTTAAAAAAATTTTTTTGACTGACAAAATTTTACATCTCATTCTATCTTTAGTCTAATTTATGTACATTTGATTTAGTTAAATTTTTTGTATTTTATATTTTTACTTTTATAAGGTTGTTCACAATAATTTATTGCATTCACTATCATTACATCTTACTCACCACCATGATTTAGAATTTTCCCAACCACAACCGAAGCCTTCCCTAAATAATTTAATTTGTATTGCTTGTTATGAATAGTTCTCTAAAAATGATCTAAAAAGATTCCTTACAAGAAACTGTGTGAAGATTGTTGTATCTCATCCTGGAACTATTGAGCCCTTGTATAAGAGATTACTAACATATTGTTACAGGCTGAGCCTTGTGTGCTAATTTTTTCTTTTTAAATTGAGATTGATTGCCTTCTACTGCAAAACCAATCCAATGGGTCCTACTCCTGGTACCTCAGTGATATAGAGTATGACGTGTCACATGGCTGCAAATGCAGCTTCGTGCTCCAGGAATTCTAAAATTTTATTATTATTTATTTATTTATTTATTTTGCTTTTTTGGGTCACACCCAGCAATGCACAGGGGTTACTCCTGGCTCTGCACTCAGGAATCACCCCTGGCATTGGTCAGGGGACCATATGGGATGCTGGGAATTGAACCTGGGTTGGCCAAGTGCAAGGCAAATGCCCTACCCGCTGTGCTATTGCTCCAGCCCCTCTAAAATTTTAAGTAAGATGATACAGCTAGAGTTAAATTTTTTAACTGGATGGGGACTTTGGGTCTAAGGCAACTCTGCAGCTTGCTGATCTCTTCTGAGATTTATTTGCGAATCTCTGGACCATGGCCAGTTAAGGAGCTTATATGGCGCCAGAGGCAGTTCATGGGTGTGACTGCCAGGCTCCCAGAAGAAACGGGAAATGGGGGGAGGTCTCCCAACCTCGACTTTGTGAGAGCCTGGAGATTTCAGTCACAGAACCTGCATACCTGTTAAAACTGTTATTAACTGTATATAAATCATGGTGCCTAAGTAAAAATTGGGGAGAAAAGCACCAAATACAAAAGGCCCTCCCGTTGATCGTCGATTTGCTCGAGCGGGCCCAGTAACGTCTCCATTGGAGACTTTGTTGTTACTGTGTCTGGCATATCGAATACTCTCGGTAGCTTGCCAGGCTCTCCGAGAGGGGCGGAGGAATCGAACTCGGGTCGGCCATGTTGGCCGCTTGTAAGGCGAACGCCCTACCCGCTGTGCTATAACAACAAAAAATGAAAACTGCATTTATACTTTGCAAATCTGGGGTGGGACTGTAGCAACAAGTCAGAGGCAAACTTCAAGATCCCACTTGCTTGCATGCGGCCTGACCTGGGTTAGATCCCCAGCACCCATATGGTCCCCTGAGCCCCATCAGGAGTGTTCCTTGAGTGTAGAGCCAGGAGTAAGCGCTGAGCACTGCCAGCTGTGGCCCCCCAAAAACAAAGAATTTTATCATTCATAAAATATGTTAAAAGAATTCCAGCTCCCAGTTATTAAAGGCCTCCTTTCTTTTTTTCCATTTTGTGTCACACCCAACGACGCTCAGAGGTTACTCCTGGCTCTGCACTCAGGAATTTCTCCTGGCTGTGCTTGGGGAACCACACGGGATGTCCGTGATGTCCGGATGTGATGTTGGCTGCGTGCAAGGCAAACGCCCTACTGCCCTACTGACTGTACTATCACTCTGGCCCCTAAGGGCCTCCTTATCAGGAGAGGCTAGAGTTGTAAATGGGGTTGGGGAGTTTTCAGCTCAGAGGTGAGCTCAATAAGATTTCCCTCCAGGGGCCCAGGCTTTAACTCAGTGATAGGGTGCTGGCCTGTGTAGGTCAGACCCTGGGGGCCCATCCCTGACGTTGCAATAGCCAAGATTTCCCGCAAGGCCAGCAGAGTCGAACTGACTCTTGGGCTGGAGTGCCCCAGTTCAGACATCCTGGCACTGCCTGGTTCTTTGAGTACCACCAGGACGGACCCCTTTCTCTCCCCCAGCGCAGTGCTGGCAGACTGCTCTGAACTTCAGCAGGGTGTGACACCCCCACCCCCACCCCCAAAATATAGCAAACCAGCAAAACGATTTGTCTTGGAGCACACAAGATAGCTGAAAGGGCTGGAGTGCTTCTCTTACATGCTGGAAGCTGGAAGCCAGGGTTTGATTCCCACCTTCTCACTCCCCACCCTCACCCATGCTCACTGGGTGTATGGCTCCAACACACACATACACACACACACACACACACACACACACACACACACGGTTTTCCTGGCCAACAGCATGGACTACGTTTTGCGCCTTATTATTATTATTTTTTTTTCCAGAATAAGTACCTTCCCAACCTACAAGTCCATCTTGCTCCTGTCTGGAGAACGCGGCTGTGGCAAGTCCACCCTGATTGCCAGCTGGGTGAATGATTTCAAGAGCAAGTACCCGGACATGTTGCTCATCCCTCATTTCGTGGGCAGCACCTGTGACAGCAGCGACATCATGTCTGTCGTACATTACTTTGTCACAGAACTACAGTACGAAAACTACGGTAACTCGCAAATCCTCCCATCCTGTAGAACGGCGTGCTGGAAAGTACTTTCTTTGGTTTCCTTGGCTGTTTCCTTTTCCCATCTAAATCCATTACTATGTCCCCTACCACTCGTATTCTCTTCAGAATGAAAATTTCCTTCCACTCTTCCTTCTATGTTTCTCTCCTCCCTCCTCTCCTTCCCCTCTGTGTTTTTTTTTTGGGGGGGGGGGAGAGGGCAGGAGTTGGGCACACCTTGCAAAGCTCAGCGACTCAGGGGCTATCCCTGGCCCTGTGCTTGGGGGTGACCCCTGGTGGTGGTGGGGAGTGAACTCAGAGTTGGTGGGATTCAAACCTTATTCCCTGATGTTCTCTCCTCTTCCTTCCTTCCTCTGCCTTATTTATTTATTTATTTATTTTATTTTTGCTTTTTGGGTCACACCAGCGATGCACAGGGGTTACTCCTGGCTCTGCATCAGGGGTTACTCCTGGCGGTGCTCAGGGGACCCTATGGGATGTTGGGAATCGAACCCCGGTCGTCCGCGGTCAAGGCAAACGCCCTACCTGCTGTGCTATCTCTCCAGCTCCCCTAATTAATTTTTTTAATTAAAAAAATACATTCTGTAAAATGTGCAGGAGAGGGTAGATAATCCTTCCCGCATGCAGTAGCTGTGTGAGGAATAAGTGAGGATTAAGCTGTGTGGAGAAGGGAGAGTGGGGATAAAGACTGATAAAAAAAAACTTGGGTCATGGGGCTGGAGCAATAGCACAGCGGGCAGGGCGTTTGCCTTGCATGCGGTCTACCCGAGTTCGATTCCCAGCATCCCATATGGTCCCCCGAGCACCACCAGGAGTAATTTCTGAGTGCATGAGCCAGGGGTAATCCCTGAGTATCGCCAGGTGTGACCCAAAAAAGCAAAGCAAAAAAAAAAAGGTCACACCTGGCCAGGGCTTACTCCTAGCTTTCTGCTCAGGGATCACTCCTAGCAGGGCTTAGAGGGGCATCCTATTGGGAAGCTGGGGATTGAACCCTGGTCAGCTGCCTGCAGGGCAAACACCCTACATACTTGCACCATACTATCCCTCCACACTCCTCGTGAGTTTTGATGGCTGTTTCTTATTTCTGTATGAGGGTCCAGATATTGGAGCTTCTGTGTGTGGGGGGGGGGGGGCGTGGTGGGGGATGGGGGAATCTGTAGGCCTAAACTGTCCATGGTTGCATTTCTCCGGGCGTGTTAAGTGGGCCAAGCCCAAGGCCACAGCACAGATGGGACCTGCTTTCTAGGAAGGTGGCTAATGCCACTGACGCAGCTCCCAGAGGGATTGGTCGTGGGCAGTTAGAGATCAGGTAGCATGAGTAATAAACGCGCAATTAGGATCGTGTTCCCAGGGTGAATTGTTGCGGTAATGATCGTGGTTTTAGGTGCAGGAAGCACTCAAACAAGCAGATCTTTGGGCTGATAACAGTGAAACATGCTGGGGCAGCCTGTGTCCCCCTGCCATACTGCATGAGCCCCGCTCCTGTGTCGGGGACCCGGGAGAGGCTCTCACGCTGTGGTCTTGGCGTGAGAAGAAAGCAATCTGTGCCCCAATTCTCTTCTGTCAAATGGAGGGGGTGGGGTGTGTGTGTGGGGGGGGGTGGTGGAGGAGTCCATCCCTTCCACATACAGTAGCTGTGTGAGGATTACGTGAGGATTAAGCTGGGTGAGGATCACGCTAAATGTGGGCCAGAGAGAAGACTCAAGGCCGGAGCGCTTGCTTTGCACGCTGAAGGACCTGGTTCGATTCCTGGAACTGCATGGTTCCCTGGGCACTGCCAAAAGCCAAAATGAAAACAACAGAGAATGGGGCTGGAGCGATAGCACAGTGGGTAGGGCGTTTGCCTTGCACGCGGCCGACCCAAGTTCGATTCCCAGCACCCCATATGGTCCCCTGAGCATCACCAGGAGTAATTTCTGAGTGTAGAGCCAGGAGTAACCCCTGTGCCTTGCCGGGTGTGACCCAAAAAAGCAAAACTGAAAAAAAAAAACCCAGAGAATTAAAAATATGTATGTAAGTATAGGGAGCTGGGGTGGTGGCTCAAAGGGCTGGAACATTTACTGTGCCTGAGGGAGCATAGGATGATCTGTCCCCAGCCCTTGCTCCTCTGAGCATCACTGGGTGTGTCTCTCCCAAGCCCCAAAAGACACGTGAAAGTAGATTTACATGTGTGAGGCTGCAGAAGAGATATCTTCAGGGGGACCTGGCACACAGGGACCATTTTTTGGTTTTGGTTTAGTTTGGGGGCCACACCAGGAAGTGCTCAGGGGTTACTCCTGGCTCTGAACTCAGGAATCGCTCTTGGCAGGCTCCCGAGACCATATGGGATGCCAGGAATCGAACCCATAGGCAAGGGGAATGTCCTACCCGCTGTGCTGTCCATTCTTCTGAAGCAGAGAGGTGTGGAGTGGCCGAGCTCCTACTCATCCCGGACCTGGGATCCCCAAACTTCTACCTCTACCCCTCTTTTCAGTTCACTGAGCACCCAGTTCAGTTCACTCAGTACCCAGCACCCTGGAAAGTCACCTGCTTTCTGCAAGTGAATAGAAAGTCCCCCATCCCCAACTCCTACCCTCTCAAGTTGTTCCAAAAGCCTCCCAGTTTGGGTCAGCTTTGGGTGGGTTGGGGACTGGGGTATGGCATCACCCCTCTAAGTGTGCAGAGGGCAGAGTGGCCAGCTGTCAGGCATGCTGTAGGCCAACAGCCCCGGAGGAAGCACAGAAGGCCCCGGGGTGGACAGGTGAGTGGCAGCTGGGCCCCACAGGTGAGAGGCTGCTAGAAGCAGCTTTGCAGGGAGCCCCAACAAAGTGCTCCCCCTCAGCAGCTGCAGTTTCTGCCCAGCCATGAGCTTGGCAAGTAGCCGGGGCTCCCCCCCAGCAGGATGCCCAAAGGCCCCTCTGGACCACTCACTTCTGCCACCGTCTCCCAGCTGCTAGCCAGGATAAAGGGATCTTGCCAATGAGCACTCCTGAGGAGCACTGCCTATTAGCATTACTGGTGAGCACTGCCCATGAGCATTGTCGCGACCTGTTCCACTGCCCTCCAGGGCTGACTGCTCAGAGAGCCCTGGTCCCCGGGTATCTGTGGCTTCCACTGCCACTCCCACCCCGCAACAGGTTTCCGCGGTGACGGGCACATCTCCCGCTGACGTGCGCATGTCCTGGCTGCAGGCACGCTTCTGAAGACCGACATCTTTGACAAAGATGCAAGCGTCTTGATCTTCTCGCATCTCATCGAGGCGTTCATGGCTTCCATCAGCTCCAAGCCCTGCATCCTTGTTCTCGATGGAGTCGAAGAACTGATTGGCACTTATGGGATCTCAGGACAGAAGGCAATCTGGGTTTTGTTTATTCTTGTGGGGGGAGGGGTCGGCGGTTTGGGTCACCCCCAGGGGTGCTCTGCAGGTACTCCTGACTTTGTGCTCAGGAAGGGGCCCTGACAGTGCTGGGGACCGACTGTAGGTGGGTGCCGGGATGGGCGTGTCACCAAGAGTGTGGATTAGCATTTTTGAAGCACTGTTACAAGTGCCCCCGTGCCTGGCTGTCCTCGCTGGGGCCCCTTGGAGGGGAGCGGGTTGAGTTTTCCTCCCCGCCCCGACCAGGGCTCCGGCAGCCGAAGACCTCCAGAACCAGCCACCACCATGCTGAGACCACTCTCCGCACACATGAAGGCACCGGCAGAGGGACAAAGCCACGCGGGTTCCGGGGCCGAGATCTCCAAGTCTACTCGGATTGGGGCTGGGTATCCTCCACCCAGATCCTCCAAATTCCAGTAGGTGGGGGTCACACCCACCAACTGGCCCCCTGGCGCCGTGTAATCCCATCAATGGCCAAGATTCAGTGACTATAAAACCCAGCTCCCGGAACCGACATCTTATTATGACATCTTATCATCTCATTCCTACTTTAGACAAACTGGCAGGCTACCGAATGTAACCTGCCCACACGGCAGAGTCTGGCAAACTCCCCGTGGTATACCCAATATGCCAAATACCAGTAACAATGAAGGGTCTCATTCTCCTAACTCTGAAAGAGCCTTGAATATGGCACCTTTTAAAAAAAATCTCAGGGCTAGGGGGCCTGCTCGAGGCAATCAACGAATAACAGAATGGTTGTGATTGTGATTGATTGATTGTTACAAGTTACTGTGATGACCATCATCCAGCCTGGGGTCCTGCATTCCACCTCTCTGGGCTCGAAAGTCGCCAGTAGAGTAGGTTTCGTTCCTTCTCTTTCCTGTGTAGTTCACTCACTGGCCGCAGGGGCCCACACTGGGTGGCGGGGCTCACACTGGCAACTCTCCATCTCAGCGTTCCTGTGCATTTTGGGGTGCAGTGCTTGTCTGGCATGGAGGGGAACCAGAGTACGTGCTCTGCTGGGGCTCGGGGATCCCCAATGAGAACACTGATGGGAATCACACTTAGGCATGTGGGGGTATGTGAGGTGTGTGGAGTGTGTGTGTGTGTGTGTGTGTGTGTAGGGGGTATGTGTGTCTGGGTGTCTATGGAGGGGCACAGGGGTATGTGTGGGGGGGTATATAGGGTGTGGGGTGGGGTGTGTGTGGGGTCTATGTGCATGGAGGGTATGTGTGGAGTATGTTGTGGGGAGTTTTGTGCGTGGGATGTGTGTGTGGGGGGTATGTGTTTGTGGTCTGAGGTGTGTAGGAGGTATGTATAGGGTTTCTGATGTGTGTGGATGGGGCATTTATGGGGCATGTGTGGGGTATGTGTGTGGGTGTATGTGTGTGAGGTGTGTGTATATGGGGTGTGGGTGTCTGGAGTATGTGTGTGAGGCATGTGTGGTGTGTGTGTGGGGATGTGGGGGCATATGTGTGGGGTGTGGGTATGTGTGTGTGTGGGAAGGCAGTGGGGGGTGTTCTTAGGATCAAACTTGCAGCCTTGCCCGCCTCATAGTTGAGAGCTAAGGCACTGAGCTAGCCGCGACCCCCAGGAAGTAGGTTTTGTTTTTATTTGGGGGGCCACCCCCGGCATGGCTCAGGGGAGCCTATGGGATGCCGGAGATCGAACCTGAGCCAGCCTCGTGCTTGCAGACGGACGCCCTCCCCGCTGTCCTGGGGCTCCAGGCCTAGACATAGGTCTCTCTCTCTGAGTCCTCAGCCGCCTCTGCCTCTCTCCGCCAGGCCAAGGACTTCTCCTGGCTGCCGCACGCGCTCCCCCCGAACTGCAAGCTGATCCTGAGCAGCGTGTCCTCCAGCCTGTCCTGCAAGGCCCTGTGCGCCCGCCCGGACGTGCGGATGGTGGAGGTCATGAACCCCTGGCACGAGGAGGCCAGGGCCCGCATCTTCCGGCAGCACTTCATCGCCCCCAACAACAACTACCCCTTCTGCCGCTACCGGCAGATCCTGAAGAGGAAGCCCAACCTGAACGCCCTGAAGCTGGCCGTGCTGAGCACCGAGCTCAACGAGTGCCGCATCTACCGGGACGAGCTGCAGTGCCTGAAGGAGTTCCTGGACACGGGCTCCACGAAGGAGCTCTGGGAACTGGTGCTCAAGCGCTGGGTGCAGGACTACAGCTGGGCCGCGCCCGCCAAGGAGAAGGCAGGCGCGGGGCCTGCGGGAGAAGGTGGGTTGGAGTGGTAAGAGTGAGCCCTGGTGTGTGTGTGTGTGTGTGTGTGTGTGTGTGTGTGTGTCTGGGATGGGGACTCGAACCCGGGTCAGCAGCATATACAGCTACAGCTAGTGCCTTCCCCCTGCTCTCTCTCTCTCTGCCCAGTAAGCCCCTTTGGAAGGGGGACCCTGCTATCATTTTTTGGGGATCTCCGGTGCGCCAGGGTGGGGCCACCTGCGGGCTGGTGGTAGCTGGCTCTGTGGGGTGTGGAGACGGGGCGGGCTGAATGCCCCCCGGAGCCCCTCGCCTGCACGTGCCCATCACCGGGTAGGGCCGTAGCTCCGGCCATGCTCCTGGGGACAGTGGGGCCCTCACTCTGGCGGTCTGTGCCCTGACCCTGGGTGGGTGCGTGCCTCGTCTGCGTGGTATTCTCGTGGTCAGCCAGGCCCGTGGCCGGGGCCGCCTGCAGGGTGAGGGAGGGGACAGGCTGGCGGGGGCCCTGAGCACGGGCCCTTCCTTCATCCCCCTCCCCCTCCTCCCCCTCCTGCCCAGGGCTGGACGGCTGGGTGGCCAGCACCCTGAGCCTGCTGAGCCTCTCGCACTGCGGGCTGACGGAGGAGGAGATCTTCCAGCTGCTGGATGTGCTGGGCTACCGGGGCGAGCACAGAGTGACCATGCTGCACTGGGCCGCCTTCCGCAACGCCACGCGCCAGTGGGTGCGGGAGAAGCCCAGCGGCGTCCTCTACTTCCATCACCAGTCCCTGCGCACCGCCGTGGAGCACAGGCTCCTGGGTACGCAGGTCTGTGGGTCTCTGTGTGTGTGTGTCTGTGTGTATCTGTGTGTCTGTGTGTGTCTGTGCATCTGTGTGTGTCTCTGTGTATGTGTCTCTGTGTGTCTGTGTGTTTCTTTGTTCCTCTGTGTGTCTCTGTGTATGTCTGTGTGTGTCTCTCTGTGTGTGTCTGTGTGTGTCTGTGTATTCTCTGTTCCTCTGTGTGTTCCCCGTGTGTGTCTGTGTCTGTTTGTATGTTTCTTTGTTCCTCTGTGTGTCTCTGTGAGTGTGTCTGTGTCTATGTCTGTTTGTGTGTTTCTTTGTTCCTCTGTGTGTCTCTGTGTGTATGTCTGTGTGTATATCTGTGTGTCTGTGTATTCTCTGTTCCTCTGTGTGTTTCTGTGTGTGTCTGTGTATTCTCTGTTCCTCTGTGTGTTTCTGTGTGTGTCTGTGTGTTTCTCTGTTCCTCTGTATGTCTGTGTGTGTGTGTGTCTGTGTATCTGTGTCTGTGTTTCTCTGTTCCTCTGTGTGTCTCTATGTGTGTGTCTGTGTGTATCTGTGTCTGTGTGTTTCTCTGTTCCTCTGTGTATCTGTGTGTGTGTCTGTGTGTGTCTCTGTGTGTGTTTCTCTGTTCCTCTGTGTGTCTCTATGTATGTGTGTGTGTGTCTGTGTCTGTGTGTTTCTCTGTTTCTCTGTGTGTCTGTGTGTGAAACTGTGTGTGTCTGTATTTGTGTGTGTGTGTTAAGAGGCGCCCTCCAGAGGGGCGTGTGGAGCTGGGCCCTGCCATTTGTCATGTGAACGGATATAATGTGCCTCTGAGAACTAAGCCCCCCAGGGCCTGTCTGCCCCTATGGCGCCTGAAGCAGGAGGTAGGGGCATGTTGGGTGGGGGTGGCGGACGGTGCCACCCACCTCATTTGGGCTGCATATCCAGAAGACAACACCCCAAGCTAGAGCCCCACACCCCACCCTGCTGTGTCCCCAGGTGCCAGGTGTGCTGGGCAGGCAGGGGTCTCCTAGGAGAGCACTCCCCATGTGTGCCTGTCGCTCCTGCCCCCGTCTTTCTTCTGGGATGATTCCTACCATTTCTTTGTGTAGGCACCCGGGTTTCCTGCCCAGGGTGGGCGGAGCCACAAGGTAGAATGGTGAGGGCATCTCCAATACCCTCAGAAGCCAAGCCGGTCAGAGGCACCGGCTTGGCTTCCCGCATCCTGGCCCACCCTGGACCAGGGTGCTCCCTTTCTCCCCCCTCGACCTCAGAGGACAGGAGACAGACACCCCCTTCCCTTGTGTTCTGGAGGTGTGGCTTTTTTCTTGCTTCTGTTTCCACCACTGGGGATCAACCCAGGGTCTCACACATGCAAGGCAAGAGGTCTACTGATGAGGGCAGAGTGATAGCACTGCGTTTGCCTTGCTCGACCTGGGTTCGAGCCCTGACGTCCCATAAGGTCACCTGAGCACCGCCAGGAATGATCCATGAGTGCAGAGCCAGAAATAAGTCATGAGTATCGCAGGGGAGTGACCTCACAATCAAACACACACACACACACACACACACACACACACACTCACACACACACAAGCTCCACCTCAGGCATTGGCATACCGTTGGTCTTTTGTGCATTGTAAATGCTGAAAGCATGTGAAATGTGGTTCCTTGTGAGGGCTCTGGGTGGGGGTGCAGTGACGGCCACTCCCATGGAGCAGGATGTCACTAAGCCCTGAAACTCCATCATCTTGTCAACCAAGGCTGAGACTGTGAAAGAATTAAGTTGAAGGTTTGTGGCCGCTCATGTTGAACATGGCCGCGGGTCCTGTTTTCCCAACAGCCTTTGCCACATTTGGGGAATTCTTGTGATGTTTTTACCTTTTGCATAACTGGGTTTGTTATGGTGATTGGAGGCCAGTGATTTTCCTGGAGGTGGGGTGGGGGTCAGGGAAGGGCTTTCCGCATGGTATTTGGGGGCTATAGGATGGTCCCACACAGGCCATAGCACCATGCCCCCCGTAGTGGTGCTTTGGGGCCATCTCTGCAGGGGCCAGACCAGGTGTCTGTCCGCTGGGCACTTTCTCCAGCCCCTTGAGCCATCCCCCCCCCACCCCCGTCCAGGGGCCAAGGGTCATTAGTGATAGAATTGAGAGTGTTTTGGGGGTGTCACCAACTGCACTCTTAGAAGACGATGACCTTATTTTTTTCTTTAAATTTTTATTAGTGAAACACCATGAGGTACAGTTGTAGACTTACAAATTTTTGTGCTTGGGTTTCGATTATACAATGATCAAATACCCATCCCTCCACCAATGCCCATTTTCCACCACCATGGGTCCCAGTATCCCTCCCACCCCCCCATCCCCTCCCATCCCACCCTGCCTCTGCGGCAGGGCATTCCCTTTTGTTCTCTCTCTCCTTTTGGGTGTTGTGGTTTGCAAAAGAGGCATTGAGTGTCAATCATGTTCGGTCTATAATCCACTTTCAGCATGCATCTCCCATCCTGGGAGGATCCTCCCAATACCTTTATTTGGTGCTCCCTTCTCCATCTGAGCTGCCCTCTCCCCCAGCACGTGCGGCTGGCCTCCAAGCCATGGAGTGAAACTCCTGGTACTTATTTCGGCTATTCTTGGGTGTTAGTCTCCTATTTTGTTACTTTATATTCCTCAGATGAATGCAATCTTTCTATGTCTGTCCCTCTCTTTCTGACTCATTTCGCTTAGCATGATACTTTCCACGTAGTACCATTTGTATGTAAATTTTATGACTTCATCTTTTCTAACAGCTGCATAGTACTCCATTGTGTAGCTGTACCAAAGTTTCTTTAGCTAGTCATCTGTTCTCAGGCACTCAGGGTTTTTCCCAGATTCTGGCTATTGTAAACAGTGCTGCAATGAATAAACAAGTGCAGATGTCACTACGGCTATACTTTTTTGCACCTCTGGGATATATTCCGAGCAGTAGTATTGCTGGGTCAAATGGAAGCTCAATTTCTAATTTTTTGAGAATTGTCCATACTGTTTTCCAAAAGGGCTGAACCAGTTGGCATTCCCACCAGCAGTGAAGGAGGGTCCCTTTCTCGCCACATCCGTGCCAACACTGGTTGCTTTTGTTTTTTTGGATGTGGGTCAGTCTCTGTGGTGTGAGACGCTATCTCATTGTTGTTTTGATCTGTGTCTCCCTGATGATTAACGATGTAGAGCATTTTCTCATGTGCCTTTTTTGCCATTCGGATTTCTTCTTTGAGAAAGTTTCTGTTCATTTCATTGCCCCATTTTTTGATGGGGTTGGGTGATTTCTTCTTGTGGAGTTTAACCAGTACCTTGTATATCCTTGATATCAACCCCTTGACGGATGTGTACTTGGTGAATATCCTTTCCCATTCTGTAGACTGTCTTTGTATTTTGGTCACTATTTCTTTTGAGGTGCAGAAGCTTCTTAGTTTAAGATAGTTCCATTTGTCTATCTCTGTTTTCACTTGCTTGGCCAGTGGCGTGACATCTTTGAAGATACCATTAGCTTCAATGTCATGGAGGGTTTTGCCAATTTTTTCTTCAATGTACCTTACGAATTCCGATCTGTTGTTGAGGTCTTTACCATTTTCATCTTACTTTTGTACATGGTGTTAGGCAGAGATCTAAGCCCATTTTTTTGCATGTAGCTGTCCAGTTTTGCCAGCACAATTTGTTAAAGAGGCTTTCCTTGTTCCACTTCACATTTCTTGTTCCCTTATCAAAGATTAGATGATCATATGTTTGGGGGGAGATGTCAGTATATTCAACCCTGTTCCATTGGTCTGCAGCTCTGCCTTTGTTCCAGTACCATGCTGTTTTAATTATTACTTCTTTGTAGTAGAGTTTGAAGTTAGGGAGGTTGATTCCTCCCATTTTCTTTTTCCCAAGAATTGCTTTAGCTATTCGTGGGGACTTATTGTTCCATATGAATTTCAGGAGTGTTTGCTCCATTTCTTTGAAGAATGTCATGGGTATCCTTATAGGGATCACATTGAATTTATACAATGCTTTCGGTAGTATTGCCATTTTGACAATGTTAAGTCTACCGACCCATGAGCAGGGGATATCTTTCCATTTCCTCATGTCCTCTTTTATTTCCTGAAGTAGCATTTTGTAGTTTTCTTTGTACAGGTCCTTTACTTCCTTAGTTAACCTGATTCCTAGGTACTTGATTTTCTGTTGCACAATCGTGAACGGGATTGTTTTTCCATGTCACTTTCTTCTCTCTCTCTATTTGCGTATAGAAGACAATGACCTTAGACAGGCGCCATGACTGCTCTGTGTTGGCTGCCGACTCTCCCTCTCCCCAGCCTCTCCGTGCCCTGCTCACGTCTCCTGAAATGAGGCCAGTTCCAAAACCCACCCTGCCTGCAAGTGTTCAAGTGAAAGGAGTCGCTTAGCACTTGCTATTGATTAGAATTTGCCGGGGCCACACCTGGCAGTGATCAGGGCTGACTCCTGGAGGTGCTCAGGGCTAACTCATAGCCCTGTGCTCAGTGCTGACTTCTGGTCCTGTGCTCAAGGCTGACTCCTGGCAGTGCTGACTCCTGGCTGTATGCTCAGGGTTGACTCCTGGTCCTGTGCTCAGGGATGACTCCTGGGAGTGCTCAGGGATGACTCCTGGCCCTGTGCACAGGACTGATTCCTGGCGGTGCTCAAGGAACCATATTCAATGCCAGGGACTGAACCATGTGCCAGGCAAGTTCCATAACCCCTGCACTGTCTCCCTGGCTCCTTACTCAATTTGAATTAAAAAAAAAAAAGAAAACCCTTTTGCTGTTTGGGGGATTCAAAAAAAAGCAATGACTATTTTGGAATCAGATTTATAGTTACCATGTTTTGGCAATAACATTTAAAAATACAGTCGTATACATTCATTCTTTAAACATAGTGCTAATATGCAAGGAAAACTTTATTGTGCTTCCAGGAAACCTAGGGGTCGTGAATATTTCCTTGGTGTTATTTTGCTTTTTGGGTCACACCCGGAGATGCTCAGAGGTTACTCCTGGCTCTGCACTCAGGAATTACTCCTGGCAGTGCTCAGGGGACCACATGAAGTGCCAGGAATTGAACCTGGGTTGGCTGCATGCAAGACAAGTTCCCTAGCTGCTGTATCCATTGGTCTGACCCCTTGAATATTTGAGAAAATAGTACAGAAAAATCAACATACTCACAAGCTACTCAAAATACAGGCCCAGCCCCCCCCCCCATGGTAAGAAATTTCAGACTGACTTCTAAAAAGATGCGTTTGTCCTAGTTCCGCTTTCCCCCAGCCTCCTGGCTTCTACTGGGTCTCATTATGACTCACTGTTATCTTCTCCTCTCCCTCCCATCTCCCCGCACCCAAAGCCAGATGTTTCAACCATAATGAATTTTGAAACAGGTGCCCTGGTGCCGGTCCGAGAGAACAGCCTGCTGGGCTCCACCAGCCCCTCCGATGAGATCATGGGCCTCTACAAGATCTTGATCGAGTTCTTCCGGCGGCATACGGCCTACTGGAGAGTGTACCAGGAGCTGCCCTGGTACCTGAAGGAGAGCGAATCCTGGGAGGAGCTTTGCACCTTCCTCTCCAGCCCCAGGTGGGTCCTTGGACACAGCAGTGGACCTGCTGCCCCCCTCGCTGAGACTCCCGCGGCTTCCCTGAGCAAGGGGCCAGCCCTTCACATGTTCATTCATGCACATGCCCAGTCACTCGCTCAAGTTTGTATGTTACGATGGGACTGCCCTTTGTCACAAACCTTGGTGTCTGATGGGTCCCCAGGCTGGCACCTCCTCCACTTCCACCTCCTCTTCCTCCTCCTCCTCCTTTTCCTCCTCCTTTTCCTCCTCTTCCTCCTCCTCCTCTTCCTCCCCCTCCTCTTCCTCCTCCTCCTTGTCCTCCTCCTTTTTCTCTTCCCCTCTTCTTCCTCCTCCTCTTCCTCCTCTTCCTCCTCCTCCTCTTCCTTCTCCTCCTCCTCCTCTCCTCCAACTCCTCCTCTTCCTCCTCCTTGCCTCCTCCTCCTCCTCCCCTGCTGGCTTTCTCCCTCTTCCTCTTCTTCCTCCTTGTTCTTCCTCTTCTCCTTCTGTGTGTTCTTTTTTTTCTCCTTTCTTTCTTTCTTCCTTCCTTCCTTCCTTCCTTCCTTCCTTCCTTCCTTCCTTTCTTTCTTTCTTTCTTCCTTCCCTCCCTCCCTCCCTCCCTTCCTCCCTCCTTCCTTCCTTTCTTTCTTTCTTTCTTTCTTTCTTTCTTTCTTTCTTTCTTTCTTTCTTCTTTTTGGGTCACACCTGGCAATGCACAGGGGTTACTCCTGACTCTACACTCAGGAATCACTCCTAGTGGTGCTCAGGCGACCATATGGAATGCTGGAAATTGAACCCGGGTTGGCCGCATACAAGGCAAGCGCCCTATCCGCTGTGCTATCACTCCAGCTCCTTCTCCTCCCTTCTTCCTCATCCTCTTCCTTTTCCTTTTCCTCTTCCTCCTCCTGCTTCTCTCCCTCATCCTCTTCCTCTTCCTCTTCCTCTTCGCCCTCCTCACCTGGCAGTGCATAGGGTTTCCCCTGGCCCAGGGGAGCTGTCCAGTGCTGGGCCTCCTCCCCCACATCTGCAGCATTGCAAGCACCTGCCCCCCCCCCCCCCCATTGTCTGTCTGGCCCAGTTCTCCAATCTCCGCATGGGCACCACCAAGAGTCGAGAAGGAATGGGCAGGAATAAATGATTGATTGGTCATGTTCCACCAGCCCCTCCACCTTCCTCCCCTCAATTCCTGCTTCCCTCCCGCTCCATCCTCCTCCTTCCTTTTCCATCCCCCTCGCTTCCCCTTCCTCCCTCTCCCCTTCCCTTCCTCACGTGCATTCTTTGTCCTGTAGAACCTCTCTCGCGGACCTGTTCCCTGTGCATCCCATTCCATTGGATAGGATGTGGCACTAAATGAGTTGCCGTTTCTAGCTCGCGGGCTTTTCCGTGGGCGGGCTGGGGATGGAGAGGACCTGGGCAGTGGTAGTGACCCTGCTGGCATACTGGAATTATTCTGTCCTACAAGTGCAGGGTGGAGTCGAGACCTGCCTGGGGTGGGAGAGGGGGTAGGGAGGGAGAGTGTCTGGCCCTTTGGCAGACGAGCTGCAGGGACCAGGTCAGTGAGACTCAGATTTCTCTGGTGGCCTGTCCAAAGACTCCTGTGACTGACGTCAGTGTTCCCTCTGTCCCCAGTGTCGTGGACCAGCTGTCCAAGCTCCCGAGCCCAAGCTTCTGGATGGGGTTGCACCTCGTCCACTACTGGGACGTGCTGCTGAAAGTCGGCTATCATGCCACCCCGGCCTACCTGTCCACTGTGACCAAGATCAAGGCGGGCCAGTGCCGCAAGGGGAAGAGGAGACCGGGACTCTCAGGTCAGTGCTCTGAGTCGCTGCATGGTCTATCTGTGGGGGCCATGGCCAGGAGCCCCTTCTCTCTTCCCGCACATCCCCCCAGGTCTCCACCCCATTCACTCCAACTGTAGCAGAAACCCACATGTTCTGGGGCCGGAGCGATAGCACAGCAGGGAGGGCGTTTGCCTTGCATGCACCCGACTCGGGTTCGACTTCCATTATGCCATATGGTCACCCAAACACTGCCAGGGGTAATTCCTGAGTGCAGAGCCAGGAGTAATTCCTGAGCATCACCAAGTGTAATTCAAAAAGACCAAAAAAAAAAAAACCCACACACACACAAAACAAAAAACTGTCCCAAAATAAATGTGATCTGTGGCATGACCTGGGAGCTGAAGAGAGAAGAATGAAACCTGTCCCATGAGCCATCCTATTTCTAGGGATGAGACTGGGAACAACACCAAACACAACCTTAATTTCACATCCCAGTCTCTCTTCATGCCTCCCGGAAGTCAGCAGAACACATCACCGAGCAGAGTAGGAAAAGGCAGGGGAGGGGTGCTGATGCAGACAGGACACGGGATGAAATAATGAAGGTGCTAGACAGGGCTGGGGAGAGTGCAGGGGGAAAGCATCTGCCTTGCATACGGACAACCAGGATTTAATCCTCGGCACCACGCATGGGCCCCCAGCACCTCCAGGAATGATCCCTTTAAGCATCGCCGGGTGTGACCCCCCCCCCTCCAAAAAAGAGAAGTCTACACATTCTGAGGATGGGGAACAGGGCCAAAATGCTCATTTGGAGATGGGCAGCAGTGCCCATCCCGGCCTGGGACCCTCAGTGACTGAGCAATGGATTCGGCAGAGCTGACCTTGTTCTGGAGAGTTCAGAAATGACTTCTGGGCCTGTGGGGTTCTGTCTAGGGATTTTTTGTTTTGGGGCCACGCCTGATATTGCTCAGGGATTCCTCCTGACTCTGCCCTCAGGGATCACACCTGACAGGGCTCAGGGGACCATATGGGGTGCTGGTGATCGAACCTGGGTCAGCCACAAGCAAGGCAAGTGCCCTATTGGCTGTGCTATAGCTCCAGCCCCAGGTTAGGGATTATAGTTATAGATCTGTGCTTCAAGTGAAGTACTTAATTTTATTTTTTAACATATATTTGGCATATATCACTATCACTATCACCCCGTTGTTCATCGATTTGCTTGTACAGGCGCCAGTAACGTCTCCATTCATCCCTGTCACGTGCTAGTGTAGCCTGATGGCATATTGGGGGCTCTTTCAGGGTCAGGGGAATGAGGACCATCATTGTTACTGTTTTTGGCATATCAAGTACGACACGAGTAGCTTGCCAGGCTCTGATGTGTGGGCGGGATGCTCTCGGTAGCTTGCCGGGCTCTCCGAGAGGGATGGAGGCTTTTGGGTCAGCCTCTAATCACCTTTACAGGTGTTCCCAGTCAGGCATATATGCGGGCAGGATACTCTAAGTAGCCTGCCTGGTTCTCTGAGAGTGAGAACTCGAGAATAAGAAGTTGTGTGGCCACATTTGCATCTGTATGCTTCCGGGAGCTTGGTTTTATATCTGGATCCTGTCTGTTGATGGGGTTACACGGCAGTTGGTGGGTGTAATTGGCTAGCTGCTGGAAGATGGGGGATCTGGGTGGAGGAGGCCCAGTCCTGAACCGAGCAGGCTTGGAGATCTCAGCCCTGGGTCCCGCACACCTGGGTTCTTCTGCTGGTTCCTTCATGCATGAGGCTCGTCCAAACGTGTGGAGAGTGGTCTCAGCATGGCTGTGGCTGGGCCCCAGAGGTCTTCATTAGTTATATAAAAATTATTTATATAAAAAATATATTTTAAAAATATATGAAATATTGTATATTTTTATATATTTAGTGAATATACTATGTACTATATATTATTATGATATAAGTTCTATATGAGTATTATATATAGTTGGTCACACTTATCAGATATATGATGTATAAAATATAATCTATATCATACATTATATAAAGTAATAATACAATATTGTATATTACATTATACATATGTGTATATATATGTATAATAGGGCTGGAGGGACAGCATAGCAGGTAGGGCGTTTGCCTTGCACATGGCCGACCCGGGTTTGATTCCTTCATCCCTCTCGGAGAGCCCGGCAAGCTACCAAGAGTATCCCACCTGCACTGCAGAGTCTTGCAAGCTCCCTGTGGCGTATTTGATATGCCAAAATCAGCAAGTTTCACAATGGAGACGTTACTGGTGCCTGCTCAAGCAAATCGGTGAACAACAGGAGGACAGTGCTACAGTGCTACATAGTGTGTGTGTGTGTGTGTGTGTGTGTGTGTGTGTGTGTGTTTGGGCAGGCAGTGAAGATTCACTTTTTGACAAACCCCTGCTCTGTCCCCAAAGACTGACTGCTTGTATTTGTGACTCTGCAAAGTTCCATTTAAATGAGCCTTATGCCAGGAGGCTGGGACTCATTGCGTTTGTTCCTTTGCTTTGCTGGGGAGTTGTGGGTGTATAACTTCTCTCCAGGGCTGCAGTGAACCCAGCTTAGTGTTTCTCCGAAGCGTGTGCTGTGGCTCCCCCCGGTGGTAAGACTGAGAACAAGCACAATAGGGGTGCCGACACTTGCCACAATGGCACCGGCCTCTGGCCCTGCCCCCTGCGTGCCCCTCCTGGCCAGTCAGTGCCTGTGGGGAGCTGCTCCTTTGTGAAGTGGGCAGTGCCCACTTCCTGTGACTCACAGGGAAGCTGTGCCCCCTCCCTGCAGACACCTTTAGAGATTTCTTTGTTTTTGAGTCGCACCTTGAGTGCTTGGGGTCTATCCTGGACTCTGTGTTCAGAAGGGGCCCTTGGTGGTGCCGGGTACCATGGAATGCCAGAGGTTGAACCCGGACTGGAGTGAGGCCGGAGGCCGGTCAAATGCCTTTACCCCCGGACTATTCCTGTGGCTTAAACTTTAAATATTTTGGAGAAATGGAATAAAATAACTCATTACATATTATTATTATTATTATTGTGTTCTGGGACCACAGCCAGTGGTGCTCAGGGATGACTCCTGGCTCTGTACTCAGGGGTCACTCCTGATGGGCTCAGGGGACTATCTGGGGTGCCACGGATTGAACCTGTGTCCCCCAAGGGCAAGGTAGATGCCCTACCCGCTGTGCTGTCTGTCTTTCCCGCTCTGCCATTGGTTCTCTGCTCAGCCATCACTTCCTGGAGCAGTGGCCACGGATTCACATCTACCCCCACACTCCTGGCCCTATGCACCCCGTGAATTTAGATCCACTGCCTCAGCAGCTGCCGGCGGGCCTCGGCACCAGGTGGATACAGCTGGCTGGGTCCTGCCTGTGTTTCCTGCACCAGGACTGTCCCTGACCCATAGGGGACAAATGCATGAAGTAGTAAATAATAGATGCCATTATCTCTGAGATAAGGCTTTATGAAATGTGGGGAGAATCCCTGTCAGCAGTTGCTTAGTTCCCTTGGTGCAGGACCACATGGCTCAGTGCTCAGGCCACAGTGTTCCGTGTTGGGGGGGGGGGTCACTGGGGACCCTCAGGTGATGCTTGAGAGGGGAGGCCTAGGACTCAGAGCTTGAACTCAGGGCCTTGAGCAGCGGGGAGTTTTGTGCATACTGGGTGTCCCTTCCCGTCTGCCCTGACCTGGTCCAAGAGCTCCTTGCCCTCTCTGCCCGCCCTCCAATCTGTACTTGTGCCAAAATAGGGCAGTAGATGCAGTCGATGGTGTCCTAGAGCTAAGAAAGTAACACAGTCAGTCACTGCAGTGTGGTCTCTGCTTCGCTCTCATCAGATCACGATCACGATCACGATCACGGTCTTCCTGTTGTTCATTGATTGCCTCGAGCAGGCCCCAGTAACGTCTCCTTCGTCCTAGCCCTGAGATTTTAAAAAGTGCCATATTGAAGGCTCTTTCAGGGTTAGGAGAATGAGACCCATCATTGTTACTGGTATTTGGCATATTGGGTATGCCACGGGGAGTTTGCCAGACTCTGCCGTGTAGGCAGGTTACATTTGGTAGCTTGTCAGTTTGTCTAAAGTAGGAATGAGATAATAAGACGTTGCGAGGCTGCAAATGTGGCCACACGCTTCTGGGAGCTGGGTTTTGTAGTCTCTGGGTCTTGGCCGTTGATGGGATTAGACAGCATCAGGGGGCCAGTTGGTGGGTGTGACCCCTGCCTACTGGAAGATGGAGGATCTGGGTGGAGGGTGCTCAGCCCCGATGCTAGCAGGCTTGGAGATCTCAGCCCCGGTACCCGCATGCCTTTGTTCCTCTGCCGGTACCTTCATGCGTGTGGAGAGTGGTCTCAGCATGGTTGTGGCTGGTTCTGGAGGTCTTTGGCTGCCAGAGCTCTGCTTGGGGCAGGGAGGGAAATTCAACCCGCCTCCTTCCAAGGGGCCCCGATGAGGACAGCCAGGCGAGGGGGCAGGAGACTCTGCATTGTTCTCTTCTGGGAGCTGGGTTTTATATATATATATATATATTCACTCTCATCAGAGAGAAGTGAAAATTAAAACAAAGTTTATGTTATTTTTTTAGGGAGTCAGCTAGCAATGATTTTTAGCAGTGCCCAACAACATTGTAAGAGAACAAACAAAACAAAACAAAAGGGGCCCAGGTGATAATGTGGGAGGTGAGATGCTGTCCTTGATGTCACCCCCAGTTTGGTTCCAGGCACCACATCTGGGCCACACCCCCACCCCCTGCAACCCACCCTCCTCAGCACCATCGAGAGTGATCCCTAAGTACAGAGCTGGGAGTCAGCCCTGAGCACAGCCGGGTGTGTCCACTCCTCAAGAAAACTAAAAACAAAACAAATCTTATAAGGCTGTGAGGATGTGGACATTTTTACACACTGTGGTGAGGGTTTATGAGAGCACACCGACATTTTCTGTCCAAAGTCTCAAACACATTAATAGCCTGGAATCTATACAAGTGCTAACAGCTGCTCCAAGAACATAATCAGAGATTTAAAAGCAGGGTCTATA